AGGGAAGTTCTTTAGAGAGTGGATGAACGAAGCTTTTGGCCCCAGTGTGAAAAAATATTTGCAGGAAACCAAACTGCCTCTGAGGGCTTTGTTTATTATAGACAATGCTCCTGCTTACCCTCCATGGGTAGAAGATGACTTAGTGGAGAAGTTCAGTTTCATAACTGTGAAGTTCTTGCCCCCTGACTCCTCTGCTCCAGCCCATGGACCAGCAGGTCATTTCCAATGTCAAAAAACTCTGTCCAGCGGTCCTTTTCCAGAGGTGTTTTAAAGTAACCTCAGATAACAGTTGACACTCAGAGAACTCTGGAAGGACCATTTTAATATCCTCCACTGTGTTACTCTCATAGATGAGGCCTGGTGTGAAGTCTCTTACAAGACCATGAACTGTGCCTGAAAGAAATTGTGGACAGAAGCTGTAATTCAAGGGACTTTGAAGGCTTTGAGGATGATATTACCTGGAAGCCCAATAGTGGAGCATATTGTGTCTCTGGGCAAGTCCATGAGCCTGGAGGTCATTGATAAAGATGCGGGAGAGTTAGTGGAGGAGCACAGAGCAGAGCTCCACACTGAGGAGCGGAACTTCAAAAGGAGCAGCAACAGAGAGTGGCTGAGGACAGTTCTTCAGGTCAGCAGGAGGGAGGAGGGAAGGAAGAAAGTGTTTACTGAACCAATGAAAGAAATATAGGGTAAATAGGTTCAAAACTTTTTGGAAAAGTATCACCCATACAAAGCTCTAGCAAGCAGCTGGAATGTGGACCTGTTTAATGAACAATGTCACACTTTAGAAACATTTTGAAATGTTGACAGAAACAAGTTTCTCTTGATAGGTTTTTAGAGAAACTCACTAAATCTGAGTCTCCAATGTTGTGTTCAGTGAAGCCAAGAGACAGAAAATAGAAGAAACCCCTGACATTGTCTTGAAAGAGGACTCCTCTTCTAACAATTAACCCCTCTCCTCCTCCTTCTCTACCTCTCCACCATCCCATTATGCCAGGAACTCTCAGTACAGGTAAAGCGAAGTTAAATTTTATCTTATTTTTATGTAATTAATTGGTTTTTTGTCCATGTCTGTTTAGTTTTAAGGTTCTGTATTACAAAACAACCTCATTATTTAATATTAATGTAGTAAAAAGTTTCTAATTACATTATTTCTTATGGGAAAAGCTTGTTCAGTACTTGTCAGTTTCAGCACTCATCAAAGAGTTCCAGAACCGAGGTGCCGCTGCAGTTTATTTGGAACCTTATTCTCTTTCTCAGTAGTACACAGAAAGTCATGCATTTTACAAATGGTGATGGCATCTATCCAGTGAAATATAATCATTTGATTTAGCTGTGGTAAGAAGGATTAGAAAGATGACTATAAAACCGCACTGAATTTTCCACAAGAGTAGAAACAACAGGAAAGGTTAGGCCTTTTTAGAGGCTGGCAAGTGGAGTGGCTGCCTCACAATGATTCCTCCTCTAAGAGCAGCCCCAGTGGGGCTCTCAGTGGCCAGGTGGATGCTAAATGACCCTTCCCCTTTGTCCACCACTGATTGGTTCCAGAGTGGTCTCTTGAGTGGAACCAAACTGACCCAGTCCTTACTCTTAAAGAATTTTTACTTGAAGCAAGAGTGTAGGTCAGTTTTCTCAGCTGTTAAAAACAGTGAGATTAAGAGTTCAGGGATGTCCAGGTTGCAGGTTTGATCCCTAGTCAGGGCACAAACAAGAATCAACTAATGAATGCATAAATAAGTGAAACAATAAATCTCTCTCTCAAAAATTAATGCTTTTTTTTTTTTTTAAATTCAGGAACAATTGTGGTCATGCTCCCTGATGCATAGGAGAGAAGCAAAAGCAAGAAACAGAAACTTCATGTCATTTGACTCCCTTCATGACTCAAATGAGCTATATGCTCACCAAACCTACTTCTTTTTCTTTCTGCAAACAGACCATATTTCTCAGCCTAATTTACCATTACATGGGGTCATGTATTGAGTAGTAATTGAAGGAAGGAGGACAGAAATGATATAAGCCACTTCCAGACCTGGCCCATGAGAACCTCCCACACAAGACCCTTCAATCTCCTTCTCCACCTGCAGGTTAAAAGGAGAGAACTTCGAGACACCTAGAGAAGAAGGGATCCACAAGATGGAAGGAGCCTGGATGGCCTAACCAGGAAACACCATGTTGAACTGCTGTACAAACAAGAAATAAACTTCGTGTTAAGCATTGAAATTTGAGAGTTGTTTGGGCAACTATGTGCTCTAATATTTCTTGGTTCCAGCTGCACCCATCCTTCCTATGGCTACATGAAATACCCAAGTGTTCTTCCCATAAATTCCCTTTTGCCTAAGCTAGTTTGAGTTGGGGTCTTTCATTTACAACTTCAGGAGTTCTGAGGCACACAGTCAAGAAGAATAAACTGCAAACATTTGAAGTGGCAAGAAGAAAGAAGCAAGCAACAATCCCCAAGTGTTTAGGGAACAGCTAGAAAATTTCTCTGAACAGAATATAATTCGAACACACTGACGACAATACACAAAAGACTTCAGTTTCCAAGGGCTACTAGCTCTAAAATCATGAACCAATTACAGTAAGATACTCTCTTCCCATTCTCATTTCATTACCAGAAGCATGTACCAAGTTTTAATAAACCGGCCTTAGGGTTTACCTACTATCAGATACCCTCAGTAGTCCTCAGCCATTTAGAGTCCTAACAAGCAAGATAAACCTCATTTATCATCCATAACCAGCTCTCCTGTCCCATGATTTATTGGGAAATGGACTGACATCCAGCTCTAAGAATTCAAATAATTAATCTTGGGTAAATAGCTCTGGGTATAAGTGTACAACCCTGACCAGAGTTTTCCAAGATAAATATTCAAGAATCAGCAAAGTTTCTGGTAGCATTTATAAGACTATAAATGAAAAGAGTACAAAAATAAACAGGAGAATGATGCCATTAATGTCTACTTGAGCAATAAAAAGTTTTTCTGGGAACTGGGGGCCAGTGATGACAGAGCATGCATCCTACTCGGTTTCCAGAAATGTTTCTCATCGAGCCAAAATTGTTTTATAACAACAAGCATTGACATCTGTGATATATTCTATGGTCTTGTTGTAAATCACTTTTATACTATACATTGAGTTATCTGACTCTCAGAACAGTACAAAGATGAGATTGTCATCAGCCCTTCATTTATAGCTGAGAAAACAGGCTCAGAAAGGTCATGTGCTCATGGCCACAGGGTTTGTGACTTGAGCCAAGACTTGAGGTCCAGTGTCCTAACCCCAGATCCTCTGTCCATTTCACTGTAGTGCAAACGATGGAGTTCCAGGGCAGGGAAATGGCCTGGCTGGATGACACTTCTTCCCAGTGCCATAATTCTTCAGCCCATGTTGGAGACTAGTTTTCTCTCTTTCATGCAGCCATATGTGGGAACTTGCCGGGGTTTAAAGGGCCTGGGATAGATGCCTGGCCTGCCTCCAAATCCAGCTGGGAAAATTTCCCTCATATAAGACACCATAGCTTATGCCCACAGGGAGGCCTTGAGGGAGGAAGAGGGAGCCTGAGGCATGGGTTAGAAGTGCAGAGGACTCCATGAGATTTTGTCAGAATCTCATAGTTGGAGGCTGTGGAGAGCCAGAAAACAAGGTCTCCTGGGACTCCAAAAATAGAATCCAGGGCAAATGAGCTAAAGGTACACTTTGTTGGAGAACGAGAGGTGATCAACTACACAGACTTCACTGGTCTCAATCAGCATTGTGTCACGTGATTTCTATGAGTGAATTATAATAGACAAATTGTCAAAAACATTCATAGACTGTCTGGGAAAAGCAAAAAAAGGGGGGAAAAATTAACACTTTAGTAAGAGCCATTTATCCCTGGTAGTTGGTGATCCACTAACTCAGAAGAAAGACAGGGAATGGAGGGAGCTGTCCTTCAGCATGTTGGAAAATGTAAACAGCTAGACTCTCCTGACTATTGTAACTTCCTAGGCTCCAAGGACGAGAGGGAGGCCCTGTACCACAGTGAAGTTTCTCCAGAAATAGAAAATCCAGGATCCTGAAGAAGCATGAGGTAGTATAAAGTGCAAAGGCTTTGATTTTAATAACCTGTGCTATCTCTAGTTAGCTGTGACCTTAAGCAAGTTACAACCTCTTCAGTTTCTATATCTTAAAGAGTAAGAACACCTACCTTATAGGACTATGGGGAGGATAAAACAAAACTGTGAATCTAAAAGGCATAGCACAGTGCCTGATACACAGTAGCTACTCAATGAATGTTAGCTCCTAAGTTTCCCTCCTCAACTTCACTTCAATTCTTTAGTATTGGAATTCTAATACTTAGTCACGCTAATTATTATTAATCCACCAGTCCTTAGTCATCTGGAGAAAATCACGCGTATTATCCAGTATCTTGACTATTTTACTTGCCTCTTTGAAATACAACCATCTGTGACTTTAGTTGAACATATTCAAATAACTCTGGGCCCTTGGGCCTCTTACTAGCCTACTCTGTGCTTCTTAAATTTCAAGAGGAGGAGGAGACGAGAGAAAGAGAGAGAGAGAGAGAGAGAGAGAGAGAGAGAGAGAGAAACTCCTAGGTCTCTGTTCAACTTTACAATCTTCCTCTAATTTGAAAGAGAATCCAGACCTTACAGATCTTCAGCACATAGCTGTACTCAACAATGATCAAATTCAGCTAAACTTTCCACAAGGCTTAAAATAAAAAGGAGTTCTGACTTTACCTATATTTTATTGAATTTAATCAATATAGCCATAGGGACAGCAGGAAGGATGAGGTTCTTGCAGTCTTCTTAATCATTCTCCTGATCTTTGGAATATCTCCTCTTGGACATCCTCTTACCCAAGAGAGGGTCAGGCACCCTTCCTCTACGCTCTAGTCTTCCGTATACACCACTACCAGCAATATGACCATACTGTACAATAACCATCTATTTCATGTCTCCCTCCCTAGGATATAATCTCCTTTCAGATATGAATAGTATTCTATCGCTTTTCGGCCTTTTGGCTAAGATCAAGTGTAGTGTCTGTTCTTATAAGATTTACTATCTGAAACATCCTCTATCCAAGGACAATATATTCTATGGATTTTTGGAATTAGGAGATGGAACAGGGGCTTGCTCCATCCACTCCACGCGTCGACCTGGTATTGCAGTACTTCCAGAAATGGTGGACCAAAGAAAAAGAAGAATAGTATTCTGTGAAATCTCAATTACCAGTACCCACCAGCATAGTACCTGGTATATAATAGGTAATAAATTAATGTTGGATGGATGGAAGGAGGGGTGAATAGGGTCTTTAATCTGGGAGAAGTATTAGAAATAATGTGGTCTAAAACATGTCTTCATTTCACAGATAAAAAAGGAGCCTCAGAGCTCTAAGATAACTCAGCCAAGGTAGCCTCAAAAGCAGCAAGAAGAGGATAAGGGTGGCAGTTACATGCCCTTTTGACTGCGAGGTCAAAGACAGATATCATTTCTCATTCACCCCCGGGGGGGGGGGCAGTATAGCTTGGAGGACTGATATAGGCTCCACAGGCAAAGTCTTTTTGTTCATGCTACCTATCAGTCATGTGACTTTGCACAAATTACTCCATTTCTGAGTCACAATTTCTTCATCTGTTAATTGGAACTATTAATAACTTCAGAGTTGTTGGGGGTATTAAATCTGCCAACATACATAAAGTGCCTAGCATAGCACTATGTACTAAATAAATGTTTACTGAATGAATCATGAATGAGTCCCTGTACAGCATACCACGACCTCATGAATATGGTTTAGACTTTGCATTAAGTCTCTGCCCACATGGAAGAAGGCTGAGACACCCACAATTACAGAACCACATACCTGGAGATTTGTTCCTTGCTAGAATTGGATCTTAAAGCAACATTAAGTAGCCTCAGTAACTTTGCTCACTGCTCCCTTCACCTGGGTTGCCCTTCCCACCTTCCTCATTGCCACACAAATCTTACCCATCTCGCACTGCCCAGCCACAGCCACCCCATCCAGGAAGCCATCTCTAATTCCTATGACTTAATCAGACCTCCCTGTCTCACTAATTAGTTTCTACCACATGGTAGAGGGGTTGTATCTGTTTGGGTTTTTTAATTTGTGGCAAAATACACATAATATAAAATTTACTATCTTAACCATTTTTAAGTGTACAGCTCAGTACTGTTAAGTATATTCATATTGTTATGCAACCAACCTCCAGAACATTTTCATTCAGCAAAACTGAAACTCTATACCTGTTAAATGACAGCTTCCCAGTTGCTTCTCCCTCACCCCAGCCCCAGGCAACCACCATTCTACTTTCTGTTTCTATGAATCTGACTACTCTCGGTACCTCTCAATAAATGGAATTATACAACGTTTGTCCAATTGTGTCTGGTTTATTTCACTTAGGATAATGTTTTCAAGGTTCATCCCTGTTGTATCATGTGTCAGAATTTCCTTCCTTTTCAAGACTGAATAACATTCCACTGCATGTACATACCACATTTTGCTTATCCATTCACTTGTTGCTGGATACTTGGGTTGTTTCCATCTTTTGGCTATTGTGAATAATGTAGCTATGAACACAGGTGTACAGGGGTATGTCTGTTTTATTGCCTCGACTTAAGTGTGAACTTCTTAAGGGCAAAGACTGGATCTCAATCATCTCTACAGTTCTCAAGGTGCTTGAGAGGTGATAGACAGTAGATGTCTATCCAGTAAATAAGACAAAACTCTGTTCCAAACACAAAGTGAAAAAGCAATCATTTCCACACAAATTTGCCAAAAGGCAAAATCACAGCAGAAAAACACAGGCTTTCCAGTAAGACAGTCTTCATTCCTGATCCTGGATCTGCTTCTTACTAGTCATTGGCTCTGAAGCATTTTATCAATACTCAAGCTCTCAGAGCTTTAACTTCCTTGTGTGGTTTTTGTTTTGCTTTGTTTCATTTTTTAATATTTTGTATATTTCTTATTTCTTCAAATGTGTTGTTTATCAGGAGCAACTGAAATAAAAATATATAATTGAGTCCCACCATTATCATGGAAATGTCTTTAAGAAAAAATATCAGATGAATATTACTGCTTCCCACTTTCAACCACTCAATAGCTGCCATTGATAAATAGACAGCCAACAGTCTGTCAAAAATGCTTAAGGTATGTTACACAGACAACATGCTTGTTCATGGGGGGTGGGTGAGGAAAGACTAGGAAATAATTTCTGTGAACTTCTTGATTTCATTACATAAGACAAGCACAAAAGCACCACATGCCTCTGAGAACACTGGACCATGAACCCTTGAAAAAAACTTTGCCTCCTTAATCACAAGCTATCTTGCTCCAACAGTCGAATGTGTCTTATACATATTGGTTCCTTTGCACCCTGACTGCATCATCATGCAGCAAGAAAGAGTGTCAAACAAATAGGAATCAGCCCAGCCACTGCTGTGACAGACTGTGCAATCATCCAGCTGATGAAGATGTGAGTATTCTTAGGAACTGGAAGCATTCGCTTTGCAGTGTCATAGATACCAAAGTAGGTAGCTTGGTAGATGATAATAACACAGACATATTAAAGCCTTGGTACAATCCCTATATCCCATGAGATTTGCAGATTTTAGCCAGGTAGTCACTGGGCCTTCTGAGTTAGTTCCCTTTCATCTTCAGCTTTGCCCACATCAGCTGCTGGAAAGGTACAGGCAAAGTTAAGAGGATACACGAAGCACAAAGAGGTGGCCCCAGCAGCACCACCTGATGCCAGATTCTCTGCAGAGTAGCACCAAAACTGGGTATGATGGTCCACACCCTCCCAGGAAGATCTGCTTGTATTTACCTTTGAAGGCAAAATTGAGAGCATGGGTAAGGAAGTATCTAATGACATTGGCCAGGTTACCACACCAGAAGGACAAGACTCCCTGCTCCTCCGCAGTAAGGACCACGCAGTCTATAATGCCCTTGTATTGCCTGTCTGCTTGATGGGCGCTATTACTGTCCTGGAGATGGCCACAGCCACTCCACCTGCCAGGAAGTCCTTGGCAAAGGACACGGTGGCACGTCGTGTTGAAAGGAAAGAAGAAGCAGGCAACTGCAGGACTGGGCTTGTAACCGGCTGGGAGTCTGGGGCCTTCCTCATGTGGTTTTGCCACAATTAGATGCTATAACTCATGTAAAGCAACACAGTGCTTGGAGCATCATATATGCAAAAAAAAACTGTTTGCCAATATTATTATTATAAAGTTATATAATAAAAGTCAGTTATTGTACATACAAACACACCATTTAACTTCTTGACCACGATGAACTTTAAGAGCAAAGAGCATGCAATATTCTGAGACCAAACAATTTATGGCAAGTAACAGTCAAAACAGATACTATCACAGCAGTAACAATGAATCCAGATTGGTATCTGCTGAATGTGGAATCTTGAGGTGCAGAGTTGCAACTCCAGTAATTGGACATGTTTTCACTTCAAAGGGACAGGCCTAAATGTTATACTAAGGATCACCTCACTTAGCAAAGCAGCCTGTCCAAGATCTCATAAATGTTTTTTTCATCAGAATTATTTGACATTTTTTTGGTACCTCAGCTAAACCTATTTTGAGTTTAATCATTCATGTTTTAAAGCTTTTAGCAAAAAGATAAAAGAAATAAATAGATCTTTATAACTATTTCAGACAGAAATATTTATTTCAATCTGACTGAAAGGAAACTGAACTCCCCACCCTACTCCCAGTTCCTCTAAGACATGAATTCCTTTTGAGGTTGTTATCCGGATTTTCCAGACCAGAAACATTCCCTCCAAAGTTAACTCTTAGAAAGTACAGTTTTTAAGTATTAGAAGAAAAAGCTTCTTAAGTTTCTTTTTGTCTGACAAAACAATTAACATTTGACATGGCTAATTAAAATGGCTCTCTGAGACAAAATCAGAAATTTGGTTGTGTGTCAGAGGAGAGAGACGGGAAGGAAAAGAAAAGATAAATGGAAGTTGCCTAAATGCTAATACTGGCCCAAATTTGGCCCCAAGTAAACAACCCGTACTTCCTTAGGTCAATCATGACTTCATGTAAATTTAACACTACACTAAGATGATTTGTTAAATGGATAACTAAATGAGATTTGAGATGTATACATATAAATACACACACACATGTATTTTTTTTAAGACTGAGTAATTCAATGAATTTATAAACAAAGATATTCTTTGTCAGACCATGAATTCCAATTTTGGATTCAGAAAAATAATGTTACCATGTGCCATGTGTCCATTTTAATTTGGCTCCCAAGCTATGGCTAAGAGCTGTTGGTTGCCTTATCCATCCAGGATGCTCACATGTACTTCGAGACCCACCAGGTGACCGACACCATGCTGAGACTCGACACACAGGACCCTTTTTAATACTCACAACAACCCTGTACTCTAGGTATTGGCATCTCCCCTCCCTCCTTTTTAACCTTTTTTAAAAATTAATTTCAGACATACCAAAAAAAAAAAAAAGCAAAATGACTAGGAATTCATATATACCCTTTACCCATATTTCCTAAATGTTAATATTTTCCCATGCTTGCTTTATCATTCTCTCTCTGTAAATAGATTTTACATTATCATTACTTGGTATTTCCTTAAAAATAAGGACATTCTCTTATATTTTCATCTCATTATATTTCATATGATTATCAAATCAGAAAATTAATATAGATATTATACTACAATCTAATCTCAACCCTTATTCAGATTTCAACAATTCATAAAATAATGTCTGTATGGCAAAAGAAAAAAATTTTCTCAGGTCCAATCCAATCCAGGATCATGTGATGTATTTAGTTTCCATGTGTCTTTAGTTACCATTAATCTAGAACTGTTCCTCAGTCTTTGTCTTTCATGAACTTGACATTTTTGAGAAATACAGTCCACTTATTTTGTAGAATGTTTCTCAACTTGGGTTTATCTAATATTTCCTTGTGATTAGATTCAGATCATGTATTTTCAACAGGAATGCCACACAAATTACATGTCTCATCACTGGAATTAACTGTGATCACTTAGTAAAAATGGTGTCTGCCAGTTTTCTCCACTGTAAAGTCACTCTCTCCGCCTTTGTAATTAATAAAGTATCTGCAGAGGAGTTACTTTAGACTAGACTCCTCTATGATAGATGAGGAACCTGAGGCTAAGAGAAGTTGTAAC